TAGAAGCTATCAAATTGTCTTGCGCCTTTGTTCAAGGAGGCATCTATCCTTTCTCTCCTAAGACAGGAATGCATTGTTGTGGCATTTCCTTTGTTGCACTAAAATAGCTTTCCCTGACCCGGTGCTGCCTTGACATGTTGGGTCACAGCTGTGACCGTCCCCAGGTAGTAATACAATACATCTGAAAGGCGCCAGGTTGAGGAATGCTCTACTAGCTAACACACAATACTGGCTTAAATATTGCAAGTTACCTATGCTTGTGTACATTCTTGGGGTAAATGTGGAGTGCCAATTAGCTTTTTTGACTATCTATAGTTACCAATAAACTGACAAGCATGCAGGGGTCTTGAACCATGGCGGACAAATGATTTGTAACATGATGACATTTCAGAAGCCTGTAAGATTTTTCTGGGAAGAGGTTCTCTTCTACAGACTTAGTTAACAAACCAGCAACCCCTAGAATCAAAGATACAAGCAACATCTAATGTCCTTATACTTATGAAGTATTATTTTTGGAAATAATGATATATTAAGTGTACTTATTAAGGGGATAATCCATTCATTGCCTTGTAACAGCAATATCTTTAGAGTAAAGGATTCTGTCAGTATATATCTCATATTTATATTTTGCGAAAAGACAATTAATTAAACAAAAGTCTTGGTTTACATTTTAGTAATCACATTTTTTTAAAATAAAAAATCTTCATTCGTATGACATTGTGATTCATGTCATACATGGAATGAAAAACAAAATATGCAGTGGTTTAATTTAGAACAAGCATTATTAACTCGTCAGTCTTTAAAGACGGTGTCAAATGAATGTTAATGGTTTCATCTTAAATATGCAGAATGGTTTTTTTTATAATAATAATGAACTCTATATTTTGATTATTCTCAGTGATAAAAGATGAAGCGGATTAATTTTATGTGGATATTTTTTTCTCTGGTAAGTCCATCTATGGAAAGTTGTTCTGTAGCATTTTGCAAAGGGCTTTTAAGAGCAGCAATTTCATACTGTTCTTGCTCATCATTGCAAAAGGTCCGATTAAAAGGGAGCAGAAAGCCTAGTGGCACCTTAAAGACTGATAGCATAACCTTTTGTAGGCTAGAGTTCGCATCATCTAATGGTCTGACTCTGACTGTATCTTGTATAGATGTCATTAGCAATGCAAAATAAATGGATACGCTTTACAGGAAATTCAGAAAGTTCAGGTCAAGGACACTTCAGTCCATAACAGTTTATATTAAAATTCATTTTGCTAGTTTCTAAAATGTTAAAAGAATGTTTGCGTAACTCTAGAACCATTTGCTTGGTGTGATTATATGATCCAATAAAATGAACAAACAATGCCTTTTTTTTAAAGGTGTTTGCTTGTCAAAGGTAGTATGGCTTGCTTGTTGACCTGTCTGAATTGCCTTTCTAATGTAGATAAAAGAGCAATTAATAGGTAATACAGCAATTAATAGCAATTAAATTTAATCTTGGAAATAGCCTTTGTAAAAAGACAAATCCAACCCTGCATACTTAAATAAACACAAGTATGGAAGGTATAGTGGATTAGTAATTCTACATAAATTTAATCAAAATTGTATCTAGTAGTAATATATCGTGGAGAATGGGTGTTTGGATAACACTGCTGTCTAACACAACATTAGGTATGTTTAGCTCATAAGGGCTTTCTAGTCAGGACCAAAATACTAGGCCCAAGCCAGCATCACTTCCTGAAACAATTATTATTGTTATTATTCAATTGTGTTAAGCCTGGTGCTAGAATTTACAACCTTAGAGGTAATATATACAGACAAAACTCGATATTAGCATTTCAAGTGATGTTATGGATTATCTGTAAATTTTGCTGAGGGAAGATGATGGTCATGGCAATGGTAGATCTATGTAGATGCTACTGTTTTTCTTCCAAAAGGACATATTATGCATATAAAAGTTTAAGTTGAAACCAAATATAAAAACCAGTGAAAACAATTAATTCGCATAATAAAACCAAGATTGTTTTAGGATAATGAAGATGCCACACGTGCTACTTGATGTCATACATGGTGCAGTTTTGGGTCTAGTCTGGGTTATCTTAACTGCATAGTAGCGTTCTTTTAACTTTAGGGGTTAAATAAGGTAATTATGTTGACAGTGGTTTAGATAATGCTGTTGACATACAGTTTAGAGGAAAATATAACACAAAGTTGAAAACAAAGTAGGATAGAACTGCCCTGTAAGGAATAGCTTGGGAGGTCATCCGCAGTCTGACAGCATTCCTTCTGTGGCCATAGAAGGTGCACTAAAACGTTGTAGAAATTGTGGGGAGATTTTTTGTGGGATTTAAGGGGAAAAACATTAGATACTTAATACACTGAAACCCCAATTATCCTTCCAGAATGTGTATTATCCTTCCAGAATGTGTCTCAGTACATCTTTCTAACAAATGAGGCTTGCCAACCCAACTTCTAAAACGTCTTGGATTCAAGCCATTTCTATATTCCAGTGCACCCTAAGTCGTTGTCTTCCCCTCAGAAGAAGGCTCAGTTTTCATTGACCCAGAGGGTTGTATTTTCTAGGCTTTGATGATCTCTTTTTTTTTAACTTAATAATCATCCTCCTGGTTGTTTCGTGTTTATCTAGGTGAAAGGCAGCAATGAAATTTGACTTCTTGGCTAACATTCTTGGCATCTGGGGAGTTGATATGTGTTTTCAAAATTAACAAGCTTTCTTTTAAGATCTGTTCTTACCTTGCTTGAATATAAAGGCTAGCTGCATATCCCACGTTCTCCGAGCAAAACGGCAGCCGGCAAGAAATCTTGACATCCCTTCCAGAAGTTTCTTGGCAGGACTTCAACTGCCTAAACAGTTTGTTGGCTTTAGTGTAGTAAGAGAGTTGAGCTCTATTTCTTCTTAAGCATTATATATCAAGAAGTGCTTGACATTTGCCTCCCTAAGGGTATCATTTAAACAGCTTGTCTTGATCAATAGAAAAGCCTTCCTGATAAAATGAATACAAAATCTGTATTTTTGGCAGGCTAAGGCTGCAAATTGTTCTTTCCTTTTGCTTTTGCTCCTGCAAGGTCTGTGCAGTAACCTAGCACTGCAGACCTGGTTCGTATTTTGCTGGGTGCATAAAGGTTACCATTAGTTTGCGTACATTTGGCTCACAGTGAAAATCATATATGTGGCATTTCAGCAAAATATTCAAATGGCGTATAATTAGCTAGAACACATGCAGCCCAAAGCATCTATGAATGAAATCTCCTATTGCACAATTGGAATTTGGTAATATGATTTTCCCTTCCTGTTGCCCCTTCCCCACTTCTCCTTTTTGAAGCATACAGATAGTCCTCAACTTACGACCACAGTTGAGCCCAAAATTTCTGTTGCCAAGGGGGACGTTCGTTTAGTGAGTTTTGCCCCATTCTACGACCTTTCTTGTATAGTTGTTAAGTGAATCACTGCACTTGTTAAGTTGTAACACACTTGTTAAATAAATCAGACTTCCCCATTGACTTTGTGGTCAGAAGGTCGCAAAAGGTGGTCACATGAGCCTGGGACACTGCAACCGTCATAAATATGAGTCAGTTGCCAAGCATCTGAATTTTGATTACATGACCATGGGGAGACTGCAATGGTTGTAAGTGTGAAAAATGGTCACTTTTTTCAGTGCTGTTGTAACTTCGAATGGTCACTAAGTCGAAAAGCACCTATATTTAAGGATTCATACTAAAAAAGTTGCAGCATTCTTTTTCCTTAAAAAAAAACTATTAATGTAAGTTCAAAACGTGATCTAAGATTACACTTTAAAAAGAAGCCTAGAAAATTACAACGTTAAACAATTTAGTGTGTCCAGGTTGATAAAAGTTTTCTTCTTTTCCCTTTTGTCTAAAATATTCCTGATATTTTGATGGATTCCAAAACCTCGGAATGCACTGTAATCAACAGGCCTGCTTGATTCCCAGTGATGGTTAATGTAATTATGGACCAAGCTTGCCAGTTTGAACCCCAAATGTGGTAATTATAAAACGAGCCCAGTTCATTGACAGGAGATATCGCAGTGGGCCAACTTCCAGTCAGCATGAAATTGCAAACTCTTACATTATGGCCTGATAGGAATGTTACTGCTGACTCCACTGGGGTGAGTAGATTAGACCCCCTGGTGTTAAAAAGGGGGCAGAAAACAGGCCAAACCAAAACAGATCATTTTGTCTTTTTAAAAAGTGATTAGTTCTGCTGCTACTCACAGTTTTCTGCTATGCGATTTTTCTAAAGTTGATCTGGTAAGAAATGTGGAATTCATACCTGTAAGACTAGTGTTGGGAAAAGCCTTTGAACAACAACATCCCTGGTGGGTAAGATCCTTTGATATTGGATGCAATGCTTTAAGTCTGGTTTGGATTGTTTTTTAAAAAAATTGGTCAAAATATCAGCCTTTGCTTTTGGAATCCAAATATTACACACTAAGCCAGTTTGGTGAAATGGTTAAATTACCAGGCTAGAAATTGGAAGATCATCAGTTCTGAATGACTTTGAGCCAGTCATTCTTACTCAGCCCTAGGGTAAAGGCAACGGCAACCACCTCCCAAATTTTGCCAAGAAAACCCTGGGGACCTGTCAGACAGTTTTCAGGAATCAACACTAACTAAAGGCAGGCACACTCTCCCTCCCCCCCCCCTCTCTCACCATACCTCTGTTTACATTAACTGCTGGTAGCAATGGCTTGGAAAGCCCACCGTCTCAAATTTGCAAGAAGGTTTCGTATTTGTAAATGCATTATTTTGTAGACATTTGGCTGCTCTTACAAGTTTGTATTTTTTGCTATTCGGGAATCTAGCCTTTTACAAACTCTTCATGTTAGTCAAGTGGCTGTTAAATGTCGTTGGGAAAATACTCATGCTTGTTGATTGAACAGTGCAGAACTATCAAATACAATTGGTATTCCGCTAGAATATGCTTAGTTCTGATTTCATTTTTTAAAGCAAGAATATTTTTCCTCTTTTTTTAGATCTACAATGATAAATGGACTTATGATTGTTCCTGTTCTTGTGATGATAGCTTTTCTTTCGCCGAGCAAGGCTGGTAAGTATTTGGGTTTCAGATCATATTTTTCGATAGGTTATATTGATTCAGTGAGAAGAGCTAACTACACAGTGGGACATTCATGTTGTATATTCTTTTTGCTGTGGCGGGGGTGTTATTTGCTCCAATTAGCAATTCAAGGTTGCAGGTCCCATGTTGTCCCAAGTCCCTTCTGACTCTTGTCCTTCACGGGTTCATTATCATTTGAATTCCTGTGCTAAGCAGAAGGGTGGACTGGCTGGCCTAAATGACTGCTTCCAGTTCCACATCCTGGAAAAACAGAGAATTCCATTTCTGTTTCTAGATCATTAAAAACAAAATGTTCTTGGGGCCATGCCTCAGATTTTGTGTGTGATCCTCTCCCAACTACTAAGAGATTTAGTTCTGTCAGCAAAGTTGGCCATGCTTTTGATGTCATTTTGGAGCACAGTTAAGATTTAACTCTTAGCAGGGCCTTCAAAAATTAAGAGTGAAGAGATGAGGGAAGCTACACCCGGAATATTGAATGGCAAATGCAGTGTTGAGTTTGTCTATAGTATTAAAAGTAGGTCTTTTGGGATATTTCAAATCTATTTATTGTACATGGTTGTTATCTGAGGGGTCCTGGTGCTCTCTGAGCTTAGTTATTTTTAGATGTTTCATTACCCAAACAGGTAACATCATCAATGCATGGGTGGGTTCCTCTATCAGTTAGTACTGGTTCGCTCGCGTGTGTGCACCACGTGTTGCTCGTGCATGCACAGTTGACTGTAATTTGTTCTGCGCATGCGCAGGAACATGCCAGCAATGGCAGAAGAGACTGGGGAACCAGTTCGGGGGCGTGGCCAGCCTGGGTCACTGACGGTTCTGCAACCCAGGCCGAATCACCACTACCAGTTCAGCTTAACCGGGAGCAACTCACCTCTGAATCAGTGCTACTTTACTCCTGCTAGGCCTGATTACGTTACCTAGTTTGGCTAATGAAATGTCTGCAAGAAAACAACCAAGCACTTCACAGGCTTTACAGCCCTCTCTAACCAAAGTCAGCCGATTGCCCCCAACAATCTGGATCCTCATTTTATTGACCTTGGAAGAATGTTAGGCTGAATCAACCTTGAGCTGGTGAGTCTTGAACTGCCAAACTACTGGCACTCAGGAGAATTAGCCTGCAATACTGCATTCTAACCACTGTGTGCCATCATGGCTCAGAGGGCCCCACAGTTCAACCCTGAACTACAACTATTCTCCTTTATTAGTACTGTTGTTATCTGCTTAAAAGCTAGGGATTGAAGGCACATGAAAACCCAATGAATAAATAAATTTGAGCTGGAATCCCTTTATGTCCTGCTGTGCTGCTTTTCCTAAAAGAAATGGTTTGGGACAAAAAAGCGATGGCATTCAGCCCAGAAGAACTTGTCAGGTTATATAAATAGGTTATTGGCATAAACACTATTGTGCCATAAGTTAAATATGTCACCAAGACACAAAGCATGAACAGTTTAGCTAAAGTTAATGTAGGCGTAAAATTTGGTTTTTCCTTTCTCAAGAGTCCTTCATGTTTTGAGGGAGTTGTGTTTTGAGTATGACTATTTCTGTAGTATGAAATGAGTATGTTGTGTTTTCATATTCCCCTCCACCCTCTTTAAATTAGTGATAAGCTTTATTCTTTGAGTGCAGATTTGCTTTATTCTGAGCCGAACATAACTGAAAGTCTTCGATAGGGGAGGAATGTCTAGTGGTACCCATTGTACAAACTTCCCTTTATCTTGCTAGATTCCTGATGTTTATAAGGTCAGGTATTACTTAACCCCAATAAGAGGGGCCTTTTTGCTTGTTAAGAGTACTCAGCCTTTAAAGTTGCAGTAGCATAAGATTGCAAAAAAGTAACTTCTGGGATGTTTGAACAATGAAGCCTTTTATTATCTGCACTGAAGCTCTCCATTAGAAGTACCGGTAACTTATAAAATAGAAATCAGTGTCTTCAGAAATGAGGCATGTATCAGTCATACATTGCATTGGAATTCTGATAGTTGTAAACGATAATTACCGTACTTTTCGGAATATAAAACGCACCTTTTTTCCTCAAAAAAGAGGCTGAAAATCTGGGTGCATCTTATACATTGAATACAGCATTTTTTTGCCTCCCGAAGCCCCATCCCCTTCACCAAAATGGCCGTGCCTAGCCTTATGGAGGCTTCCAGAGAACTCCTTGGGGCTGGGGAGGGCAGAAATGAGCAAAAAATGGACCGTTTTTTGGCCCCAGCAGCACTCTATAAGCCCCCATAAGGCTATGCATGCAATTTTTTTGACAAAAAACGGGCCCAATTTAGGTGCTGCAGGTTGTCAGTGATTTCCTTCTCCAGCATATGG